ACGCGCAACACGCGACTCAAATAAAAAAAAAAGCTTGGGACTAGCAACGCCGACGATATTCGTCGGCTTGCTTTCAACAATCAGCAGAGAGGCCCCCAGAACGATCATGAGCCTACCTCCAAAAATATATGGTGATCCAAGCCATGAAAGCACGCACCGCACCTAGATGCCTTTTGGTTACCCACGTAGGGTGGACCAAATCTCACGAAAATTGGTGTGTGTGTGTCTTTACATGTAGGCAATCCATAGATGATGTGCACTAATTGGGATCAGCGCTACAGCGCGAGTTGTGGCAGAATAACCAAAAACAAACACTGCGCGGAGAGACTGCTTCCCGATGTGATTCCAGGATTTGTAATGTCTGCATAAAAAAAAAATATGGAATTTTTTCCATAGGCGCGAACACGTGTGTTGGTTGGCGGCAACGTTGTCTCGTACCTACCCCATGCATACGGTGGGACCGTAAACTGGCTAATGGTAGCGTCGAAGACTCTAATGAAAGAAGATTTCCAGTTAAGATTTCCTGGCCAGTTACACAGACACAGGAAGAGAGAAAAGAAGCGTTGTCGGGAGGTTCGTGGCGAAATTTGTTGAAAATTTCCAGAAATTTCGGCGCCCGACCGGTTATGCCGTCGCCACCAAATGAAGAACAAAACAACTTGAAACAGCAAAACATTCAGACGCAAAGAATGGTGATAATGTATTCGGGGGTGGTCATCTACAAGTATTCTCTTGTTGTATGAACCTTTTTCCCTTCTCGCTGGTCGTCGGCATGCCGACGGTAATAATGCCGACGGTAGAAACGAGCTGGATCGTTCATGATTTTCATCCTTTTTCCCTGTAGGCCATTCTTCACGAACGAGTATACTGCAAGAGGCGGGGAGATGGCACCCCTCCCACACTCAACTCCTGGACAGAATTTCGAAGCCCGATTGCTCAGACCCAAAACAGGAGGGCGGATGAGGAAAAGCCCGGTACGTCGACGGAAACCCCTTGATGAGATGTTTCCAAAACCACAACTAATTCTCGGTGTTCCCACAAATTTCGAAAATCAGTCTTGCGGGGAGTGCCATCTCTCCGTCTCTTGCAGTATGTACAGCAGTAGATATTCGCAGACTGGAAACAAATGGTAGGTGACACAAGATATCACTCCCCCCTTGAATCGATTTTCGAAGGAACTCGATTACTCCACAACCGAAAGGAAACACAAAACAAACGGTTCGTTTTCGGAGAGCGCTCTGTGAGACGACTTGCGCCCCGCCGTTTTTGACACCGCCACTCTTTTCTGCTCTACAAGTAGGAGAAACTGCAGCTTTTAGAATCGGTCCAGGGGGGGTGGTATCTCACGTCACACAGGGTATGCGTTCCACCTGCCTCACGGACATGTTCAGGTACATATACATACACATGTTCGGAGAAGGAGAAAATATATAAACAAGAGCTTCGCAGCGCTTATCTGCGGTGGATATACCGCAGTAGATATTCTACAGCTCGCAAGGTGGTGCATTCGTTGTGATACTCTGTCTTGGAAGAACAGATCAATTTGTTGGTTCTGTTGCTGGTTCGGAGCGGGAGCGGTCTCGCCGCATTTCGCTCCTCCAGCCTTTGGGTCCTCGGCTTGTCCTCACACACACGACATCATCAATCACACGCTTGCCTACGCACCGAAGTTCTATTCCTGCACGAGGCCCGATTTTCTGCGCTTTCTATCTGCCTGCTGGAAATTCAGTGGCTCCCATCAGGCTGCCAAGAGGTCGCGTTCAGCAAGTCAAGAAATAAGCACGTTCGGAGCGCACGAAGGAAGGATGAGCCAAGAGGTGATGACAACAATGAGCCAACCACAGCGTACGTACTTTAGCATCGCCTACCATTTGCGAGTGTGGATATTATTGGGTGACGCCCGGTCTAACCGCCCGACGATTTCGGCAGCGGCGGGGCGCCTCTCTGGCGACATAGACTGCACATCAAACAAGGAATCCGAAGGGTACCGATGTGTTTACAAATATTTGGACCGATTTCGCCGCACAACACGCGCCATTTCAGCCGGGCCATGCAGCGTCGACTCAAGAATAGCACCAGCCAAGACGCAATGACTGCTGCACAGCAGCATTAGAGTAGCACAATAGCAGCGCACCAGCTTGTAGAACAATAGCTTGCTTGTTCGCGCTGTGGAGCTGATGATTGATGATGATGAGTAGGTGATGTGGCACAAGTCCCCCTCAGGTCGCCCGTTGGTTCTTCCTCAGGAGGAGTCATGCTCCCCTCTCCCACCTCTTTGCATCAAGCAAGCTCGCCCTAGGTGCAGAAAGACTCCAGAGGTGGTCCTCGACTACAGTAGTCTCTACAGCATTTGCTACTTTCAACCAACTCAATCAATCATCGGTGATAGGGCCATACAGTGGGGGGGCTGTTCAGTGCCGGTTGAATAGTGCCAATGTGCCCGGTATTGGTGCCGGTGTTTGCGGCGGGCACACACTGAGCTTCCAAGTCATTGTCAGTACTTTGAATAGTGCCGGTGCTGTATAGTGCGGGTGAATTGTCTGGGCACATACCGGCACTAAACAGGGACCCCCACTCTATCACAACCTTTAAACTCAAACTCGGAAAAAAGGGCGGTTGTTGTACAGTACTGCTGTAGAGGAGCCGGCGGTATGTGTTTTCTGAGACGGAAGCGAACAGATTTTCACCAGCCAGCCGAGCCCGTAGGCATCACGCCGTCCTACCTAACCCCATTCCAATTCCAAAGCCGCTATGCAAGGTGGCCTAGGTCGGCACCCACGTGATATCGTAATCGAAATTGTCCGGCCTCCACGTCGTCTAGGATTCGGACCCACCGAGCGGCGGAACAAAAACGGCCTGGATTCGTTGTGTCATGTTAAGAGAAAAAAAAAAAAACGCCCGACCAGCAGCGTTTGGATTTTTCTATCCCAAGGGCTGCAGCAAAAGACACTCCGCCTTTGGACAGACTTAAAAATTGTTTTCGAAGCAAGAAAGATTCTTTTGAACAGCGGTTGACACAGCCGCAAGAGCAAAGAACCAACATTGGAAGGGTTGCCGGATCTCATATCAATTTCGACCAACACCGCGGTGTGTCGAAATTCAACCCCAAACACCACCGCTGGCTGCTTTTGGATCTGATCGAGCTCTCGGCAACGGCGGCACGGAAACACACACGGCAAAATGAGGGAGAAGAGAAGGGTAGCGGGCACATGCATACATCATACAGCTTGGGCACGCTCACACGACACGTATCGGTACGCGGCCGGATGCTGGTACGAGTACACAGGAAACCACACATGGGTGGCATTCCGCAGCAGTGCACTGAGGGACGAATGTGGGATCGCTACTACTCCCATCACTGCCTTGCTGCTGCTGCTGCTGCTGACATGCGCTACTCCTTTTAATGCTGCTGCGTGGTTAGAGACCTCCTACCATCATCACCACCGCAGGATGAGTCATGGTCACCGTTGCACAAGTTCTAGCCAGCTGCTGTGGGTTCCTCGCCCATCTGTTTGGGGTGATGGTGTCGGATTTTTTTTGTTGCTGTGTTCGAGACTTGCATTATCTCACAGAAAGACTACCAGTTCGAGTTAAAACCACAGCAGTCGAAATGGATATGCTGAAGTCTTTTCAGTGAATGGAGGGAAACCGGCTGCAAACTGGGCTTGATTTGGGTTTGTTTATGCCTACGGACTGAATTGTATCAGTGATGCCAACTGGTGCTAAGGACAACAGCATCTGTACACTGTCAAAGGTGGATGCATTTTTGAGACTTTGAGACACACGGCCGAACAAGAACAACAGCACGAAACTTTCCGAAAGTGGCAACAAAAAGGCGCGTCACCAATATCATACATCAGCTTTTTAGTTGTCCTACAAGCTCTTGTCCGCCACTGTCCTGGCAACTTTATCGCTGCTGTCATGGTGTCCTGGGGGGGCTCGAGCTAAGTATCGGTGCTGCTGCTGTTGGTTGGCGTGTACGGGTCTTCTTCCTGTCTGACGCGCCGGCCAACCTTTTTTTTTTCGTTCTGGCGTGTGTTCTGCCATCGCATACACATAGTCAATCATCAGCCCCACAGCGCGAACGATTGCTCTACACGCTGGTGCACTGCTGCTGTAGTTATACTCTGATGCTGCCGCACAGCAGCCGTGGCGTCTTGGCAGATGCTGGAGGCCATACTTGAATCGACGCTGAATCACCCCGCTGAAACTTCGTTTGGGCAACTCTAGGGGTCTTTTCCAGGCCTTTCGGCGTATGTGTACCTGGTGTATCACCCGGGGTCACACAAGAGGAAGGTCACACAGGACCTCTTTTTTTGTTCTTTTTTTTTCAGTTGTCCCACCTTTCCCTTTGCGGTACTCGCCTTAGTCTCTTTCGCGAGAAGGGTTCAGCCATCCCTGTTCCCCGTCCACCCTAGGTCCCGATATATAGCCCACGGTGCAGTGGTGTCGTCACATCGGGAACCGCGCTATTGCGGGAAGGCCCCCGAAGTAAGTTGTTGTGTCGAGGATGTGTTACTGCGGTTTGTCGGGAACCGCGCTTTTCGGGACCGCGATATATCGGAGCACTGCTGTACTAGCGTGGTCTCGCGACGACAAGTGCTATCGACACGACTCGACCCATTTCATTGAGGATTCCGTCTTGCTCGCTCCCTTACGTTCTTGCCCAGAGGTCGCGTAGATGAGTGCGCAACAAACGTTAACTCCCTGTGGCACGATCACGGGGTCGACATGTATCACGGCAGCAGCGTGTTGTCCGTCAAGTGCGCATGGGAAATTGCTGGGCTAGCTCAAGCCCCGTTTCGTTTGGCTAGCTCAAGCCCCGTTTCGTTTATTTTGGGTATTTTCTGGGATTTGTCGTGCTTTCGTGCTGATGCGTTCCTCTCTGCCGCGACGCGATTTGTTCGTTTGCTCGAAATTTCCAGGCGTCCGCATCTTCGACAGACGGACAAGCAGCAGCGACCGCCGCCGCCGCCGCCGCCGCCGCCGCTCCCGCCGCCATGACGCCAGGCATCGTCCCTAGCGTCCTGAACAACCCAGACATTCTCGGCTGCCTGATCTCGTTCGTAGCCGACGAGTCTTTTCTTTTCTTCGGGCCGGTGTGCCGAGACTGGAGGGCGGCGTGGGGGAATCGCCCGACCACAACCAGGATCGCAACGTCCGACTTGACCCCGACCCAGCTCCAGCGCGGCTTCGACTGCGGCCTGACGCGGACCAACCCCGAGCTGTGCGCCGCCATCGCGCGCCTCGGCGACGTGGACCTCCTCGAGCTCGCGAGGGACAACGGCTGCCGCTGGGGTGCGTCCACGTGCAACGCGGCCGCCGAGTCCGGGAGCCTCGAGGTCCTCCAGTGGGCCAAGTACCACGGCTGCCCCTGGTACGAGCACAAGGTCATATCGCTGGCCGCCGAGGGTGGCCACCTGGCCGTAATCAAGTGGGCGCGGATGTTCGGCTGCGCTATTGATCGGAGTGCCGGGTGGTCGGCGGCGGCGGCGGGCCGACTCGACGTTCTGCGGTGGCTGGTCGAGGACGGGGCGCCGCTGGACCAGCACACTTGCGCCGCCGCCGCCGAGAAGGGTCGGATGGACGTCCTCGAGTGGCTGAGGGACAGGGACACGCCGTGGGGGGAGAGCACGTGCGTGGCCGCGGCCCGGGGGAAGCAGCTGCCGGTCCTGCGGTGGGCGAGGGAGCACGGGTGCGCCTGGGACGACATGACCTGCTTCATGTCTGCGTGGAACGGCGATCTGGAGACCCTCGTCTGGTCGGTCGAGAACGGCTGCGATATCAACGGCTCTCTCTGTCTGGAGACCGCTCTGTCTTCCGGGCACACCCACGTCGTGGAGTGGCTGCAAGCGAACGGCCATGCTCCTAGCTAGGCTCTTATTGAGAGAGAGGGGTGCCGCGGAAGGAAGGCGGGTGTTGGGGGTAGATGGTCTTTGGTGCGACAGGGGTTAGGGGCCAGGAGTCGCGTTGCGGGATACGAAAACGCCGGGTCCTCGGAAGCAAAAAGTGGACGGGAAATGCTATTTCAATTTTACGGTGGGGGGCCGTCAACGAAACGCCGGTGTGTGCCTGGCGCATCGACCGGCGCCATTCAGTGTGCAGAAATGATTTGGGGGATTCGGTCTGTGCCCAGCAACTTCACCGGCGCTATTCAGGGCCACCGACGCTAATCAACCGGCGTTGGTGACGCCCCCCCCCCACTGTACCTTGCGGCGTCTGAGAAGGAGTCAGAAATATTGCCCCCTGCGTGATGACCTCGTTCGGTAAGGGGAGACATGCATCAATGCACGCCCAAAGACAGGGGGCCATGTGCTGAAGAAGCACCGGTGGCGATTTCGCCAATTATCAATTGGTTTGTGTAATATTTACCCAGCACCAAGGTGTACTTTTCTCGGGGTAGGGGTGGTTGTTCCAACATCCGAAAGCACCGGTAAACGCTCTGTCTCCAGGCGCTGGGCGCTGTTGGTCTTTGTTTCCTTCGTTGTCCCGATATGCTTAAAAGAGGCGAACAATCTTGATTGCTTTCGTGTGGGTGGAGTTGTGTGCCGATTTCGAATATCTCAACGAATTTGCTCTCATGACATTTTTGTTTTACATTCGAAATTGATGGGGTTGTCCATTAATAATAACGGACCTGGGAGGCCAAGTTTTCCTCTAATCGGTCGCCGTGAGCATTGTTGCACTTTTCCCGAGGATAACTCTCTTTCGTGAGGTACCCGACTTTTTTCGACGGTAAACATCATGAGAGAGAGAAAAGGGGGGATCGGCCACCACCCGAAGTTGCCTACTTCAGCAAAAGCCCCAGTAGCATCAATGGGCGGCCATGGAGAAGAAGATGCTTGCAATTAAGCGAAAAATGGCGGCCGTCCAGCGCATTTCATGCTCGCCAGCAGAGCCGCAACGACAACCGATAGCCGTTTGTACGTATACAAGTGATGCGAACGCGGGGGGATCCGTGATGATGCGGGGGACCTATGGTGGTATTTTGGGTGTCATGGTATTGTAGGGGTTTCCGTTGACCATTGTTGCCAAAACAAATGTAGCATGGTGTATAAAAAAATACGGTACGTGCAGCTATCGACATGCATTAGCTTGACCAGGCGATCGCGAATATTGTTGTTTCACACGCATCAATTAGGTTTTCGTTAAAAACGTTTTCGCGCGAAACGTGAACGGACAAATTGTTGTGCATGGACCATACGCTGGGCCACTCTTCTTGTGGAATCGGGCGATATGGAGAAAAGGATGCCTGAAACACCGCAATATTGAGGTTTCGTCATCTGCACCATGGGACGAAACATTAGCGAAGACAAGTTGGTCCCACTGTCAGAAAGAAGGGCGATGAACAGAAATTCCTTGTGAGGTGGCGTCGTCCGATCGAGCAGCGTGTCGCATTGCTTTAGGCTATTCACGTGGTAGACAACGGCTAGGTATCTACTTTCCATGTGGTAAAGTCCACAATGGGGTGGGCAGATACGAGGCACGTAAGGGACTGGTGACGGTCAGACCACATGTGAAACTCGCGGTTTCACACGAGCACTCCTACTGTCGGTTTAAAAAGTAAGTGAGATGGTTCGAACTGTTTCATACTCTCTGCCTCTTTCAATTTGTCGCTCTCTGTCTGTCGCTCTCTGTTGCTCTGTGAATCGCTCTCTTGGTGACACCGCTTTTTCCCACCCAGCTCTCGAACCTAACACACTAAAACGCTTCAGTCGTGATGCTGTTGCTCTTCCAACGGGAGGCCTCTGTCGAAAATGGACGGGAGAAATTCAGTTCCCTTTGAAGAAGTGGATGGACAGCTCCTCCTGCTGGTCCTTTCACATTGGAACCTACCGGAAAGCTGGTTGCGGCAATGGCGACCAATCCATCGGCTGGCGAAAACGCATAAAAATCACCTCGCCGTTGCTATTCAGAAGGTGCAGGGCATCGGATTTCATCCCTCCCCCCGCAAAGCATTCTTCGTGGCAGGCTTTCGCGTTCCTCTACATACGCCTTGACCAGCCGAGGAGAAGCGCGCCACCCCCACACTCATGCTTTTTCCCGTGCCTTTCCTCATCCTTCCTTTCGCCGTTTACTTCTCGCCCCTCGGAATACGGTCAGTTCGCCATTGTCTACAGTAGTTCATCATATTGTCTTTTTGGCGACCTTCTCTAATTCTTCAGACAACTTATCGACTCCATTTTCTTCTCTCTCCTTGCGGCATTAGGCTATATACCCCTGCTGTCGCGCTTTCAACTTCCTTCCCGCGATTCCTTGTGATACTTTCCTCGATCTCTCAGACTTTGCCCCCCACTTGCCCCCCCCCATCCACATGGTCCTCGTCGCACCGCTCTCTGCCCCCCCCCGCCTCACTATCACCAGCCCTCGTCCTATTTCCCCGATATCCCTGCTTTGTTACCCCCCAACACAACTGATTCTCCCCGCGCCGGAAACACCGCCAACCGTTCACCTTCAATGAATGGTGTCCTCGGAACACAGGCTGTCGGTTTCATCCGCTCCCTCCGAACAGGTGTGAACTGTCGTTAAACCTTTCCGAGACCGAAGCAAGGCCACCTTCTCCAGTTACTCCCCAAAACCAAACCAAAGTCGCAACAGACGTCATGGTCGATCCCCATTGGCTGGCCTAAAGTATGTCTCTCCCATAAAGTAAACTGAAGCGATCGCTTGACGGACCGTTCTACATATTGTAACGGTCATTGCTGCTGTAACGAAGCCCAGAACCACGTCCAGCACGATGCCCTGCGAACGGTGCCCTCGCATCGAAATCGCACCCTGACACCGCGCCACTGTAGTTACATGGGCTTGGTCAAGCTCGGTGCTACCTAGCTCTCCCCTATCCAATGCTGGGCACTGCTGCGTGGCGCCAAACATCGGAAGAGAATTGCTACCAGAAGAGCCATATCTGCAGGCTGCAGCGGTAGTAGAGAAGAGCCACACCTGTAGACTGCATTGGTAGTAGGTTCCGGAGCGACCCCCTAAGGCTCTTGCTCTTCCCGAATCCAGGCAACCACATCCTGATGTCCGGCCTGCTCTGCGAGCGTCAGGCACTTGGTCTTGTACCAGCAGCACCCGTTTTTCCTGGCCCACTGAAGGACGTGCAAGTGACCGTGCTCCGAGGCCTCCTTGCAGATCTGCTTGTCTCCGACGCAACCGTTCCGTAAGGCCCACTTGAGCACGTCAAGATGCCCACCCCTCGCAGCTCCTGCACATGTTTTCGAGCAGCTCCAGGGGAGGTTCCGCTTCCTTGCGCCTGTGGCGTGAGAACGAGGGGGGCAGGGGTCGGTGTCTTGATGATGGCCCGGCCGACGGAGGCAGGACGGGGCTGGTCGTTACCGTCGTCAACGTCAATCGGTCATGTTCATGACGATTTTCATCATCATCTAGCCCCAGAACCGAAACATCGAACGTCGTTAGTCCCGATCATGGTTGGAAACGGCGGGTGTTTGCAAGGTTTTATTCAATAAATAGCGAAGTCATTTTACACACCCAACAAGAAACGAGGCAGAGGCATACTCTAGCCACGCAACGTCGAAAGACCGACAAACATCCTCTTTCCGGCCTAAAAGATAGGACCGGGACTTGCCTCGCAGTATGCTTAGATGGCCACCCGCCGCCGCCGCTTCACAGAGGGTGGCGTCGGACGGACAACCTTGGCGAAGGCACCACTGAAGGGTCTTGAGATGACCGCCCCTGGCAGCGGCAGCGGTCGTCGACGCGTCCCAAGAGCACCCCACCCTCCGCGCCCACTGTAGCACCTTCAGGTGGCCCCCGAGGGCGGCGGAGGCGCACACCCTCGCGTTCATCGGGCACCCTGCTCCAACCGCACACGCCAGAAGGTTGAGCTTGCCTAGGCGTGCCAACGCCGCGCACAACCCGGTTTGGTTCTGCGGCAGGCCGCATTCGAAGCTGTGCTGCAGCTGGGACGTCGTTGTGTCGGGAGTGACATGCGCCGTGATCGTCGGTCTTTGCCACGCAGCCCTCCAACCCTTGGCCACCGGCGCGAAGAACAAGAACTGGTTGTCCGGCACGAACTGGGCTAGGCAGAGGAGGATGTTCCTGTTGGTCATTGCTGAGCTTGGGTCGGGGAAGCAACCAGCTCCATGCGTCGGTGCAGCGCCTTCCTCTGTCTCCCGCTTACGTTTCCTTACCGTGTTTGCTTCCTGTTTGCCAAGCATCAGGAGTGCTATTAAAGAATGTGAAATACGGTAGAAGCACGACGGAGGTGTGCAGAGACTAGCCAACAAATACGCCGGCGGAGAGGGCACATTGCAAGTCGATTCTGCCAAGCGTCGCACCTACAGTACTAGGGTGTAGTAGGTTACAAGGCACACAGCAGCATTTCTCGTCCTCAGAGAGTTGGGGCTGTAGTCTGTTCGCTTTCTGACGCCGACAGTCCTACAACAAAGGTCGCATTTCCCTATTTCAATATCCATGGCTAGTGCTTACGTTTATGTCGGTCAAGCACGCCAGCAATTTGCGCAAACACATATCCAAACAGGGACGGTAGAGAAGTGGGCTTTCACGGACATGAGCAAACATCCGTTTAAGCTAGAGTCCACCTGCTGACGAACAATGTACTGTGTACACTGACGGCGTTTCGAAAATGTAAGTCCAGTGTGTGGTCAACCGTGGTTCAGCAGACTAGCCCATGTCACGTACCTGCGCCGCTGGGGGTGCTGTTTTCGGCGCGATATCCATTCCCGAAGGCGGCACAGCTTTGCCAACGTCCTCGGTTGCAGAATGCCCGAGCACGTTTCCAGCAGCTAAGGCCTGAATCACGTCCGTTTTCGTTTCGCAGCCGACGGTGCTCACATTTGTCCGGAAGGCGAGCAGGCATAGGTCCATCAAGCTCTCATTTTCCAGCCATGCCGAGGTTCCACTCACCCCCGCCATGGCGTGGCAGTTGTGTTGCTGTGACGCTGTCTGCCTGACTGAACTGCTCTCGCGGTTTGCGGACACAACGACGGGGGAGAAGGTTCATCTACGCTCTTAGGCGAGATACGATCATCCAAGTTGCATTTCGGGCCCAGGATGATTTCGGACATATGTCTCTAAAAACCATCGTTCGTGCACTCATGTCTCAAGACCTCTCTGTGCGAGCCCCACATAGATACATCTCCGCCAGACGTCCATCAAAGTCTTCCCGTTTGCGAATACTCGTTGATGCGATGGTGCACACGACCGTTTTAAACGATTGCCGCGACTTATGCAATTGTAGATACATACTGCGTAGATTGCGTAGATACATGTGCGAGTCCTCAGCGGTTTTATCGACTGTACATGGGAGAGGGGACAAATGATCGAGAAGAGGCACAGGTGAGCCAACATCTACAATACCGAACGGGTTGACAATGAGCTTTTACAGAGACGCTCCACGCTGTCTATGTTGGAGATCGAGTTTCTCTTTTAGGTGCAAATGAGGGGGCAGTGAAAACACCCTGGGCGTTACAGCCAAGTACGACTCATGAAGGTTCTACATAGTGCAGTAGGATAGGGCTACACTGTAACCAGGACGGCTGTTGGTTCTATACGGTAGATCGCAGATTGGGCTTGGACCCTTAGTGGGAACGGGAAACAATATTGACCACATCAAGACAGCAAACATACTCACACCATGGCATGAGACATGCATGCAAACGGCTCCCCCCCGCATTCAGGTCAACTCACCCTGCATCACTCACCCGCTGCTGGTCCGGTTGGCCGCTGTACGGTAGCGGTGTCTAACAGAAGATCTTTGACGTTTTTTTCAGAAATCGAACGTATCTCGTGCAGGGGGTGCGGTAGGGACTGTAGATCTTGCCGATGTCTGCCAAGGAAAGGAACTCAACATAAGCCTTTGCAGATACCACAAGCTCCGTGGAGCAGATGTCGCACAGCGCAGACGGCGGACGCAGCACTCGCCCCTCGCGTACTTGTTTTTTGTTGCGCCGCCACTCACCCCCCCCTGCATTCGTCTTCCCTACACCACGTGGCCCCTATTTGCACATATCGTTGCTCTTGATTAAAAGGCACAACCCCGTAACATACAATGCTGCTTCTTCCAACTGTCCTATGCCACACGTTGGCTTGGATACATGTAGCCTAATCAGGAACTAATCATTTGTCTCTCACGGGAAGTTTGGGGTGATGATCGCCCCAAACGGATAGTGACTGCGGCTGTATTGTTGGCTTTTTCAATCGTCTACAAACATACAGTAGATGGCTCTACTGCCCACCACCCTGTAGTGGACGTAGAATGAATAAAACATGTAGACTAATCAACAATGTTTTCGCCGGCAATGAAGGATTGGCGAAAGTACGCCGAGGAGACTTCGCTCTCTATCCTGGCGACCCCGAGACTTGTCAGGGGAACAGCCTATCCTATGCATATGTGATTACCACCCCCAGCCCCTGTGATGCGGGATAACAATATTTCCTGGTCGGTTTGAGCGTGAGGCCCTGCAGGTTTTTCGCTTCTTTTCACGACACGTTCATCGTCGAGGTGACATACCGATAGCGATGGACGCCATTTAGTTTTCTACCTTTGGTTACATCGTTCATCTGCTTCGCTGGTGTATCACCTACGGGTTGCATTCACCCACACACAACATCATTCGTGTGAATTTTCACAGCAGCACAAGATAGGTCCATCCGGTAGCAGCGGCTGCTTTTCAAGCCAACGGACTACCACTCTCAAACAAAGTTGGTCGCCATTCACTATTGGCTAGCTTGTTATATATTCATCCAAAGATAGAGTACTCTTTCGAGATAACAACCCAACGGAAGGGGATGGATGTGTTGAAGTCTTCGCAATGATATTTTCTCCGGTGGGAACATGCGTGTGTGAATGTATTTTTCAATACATTCGTCCGTCACCCCTTAATCCCCTACAGCAGCAAGACACATTTTGACAAAAACCCGCTGAAAGCAACGCAAATATATGCCCTACCTCCCCTGCTCTCTCTCTAGGCACTATTTCAACACCATTATTGTTGGATCATTCAATTTTATCACTTGTCGTCGGTTTCAAGTGGCATGTTCTTGGTTCGATCCATGGCAGGGATGGACTACTTGGATATTGACCAATCATAATGATGCGCTGGTGTTGAGAAAACATCCATCCGTGAAATACCCATGCCGAGTTACCACCTGCTACCCCGTGCGGGTGCCCATTCATGCAACATCGGTCGGATATTAACCAAGTTGTTCGCAATATCGTCCTTACTGAATATATATGTCCGCGTCCTTCGGCGTCCCGGCGTTTCGGCGTTTGCACAACCCACCCTTGAATGAAAATAACGGGAGGTGCAGATACCACTCAGTACTGTTCCCATACCGCCGTCCACCGTGTCTATCTTGGCGCACACACACAGGAATTAGGGTATGCATTGCCCGAAAGTGTCAATATTGGAGAACTCTGTTTGATCTCTACATTGACCGTTGCAGGAGATCCATTGGGTTTCACTTCCACCTTGTACCAGCAGTCCAACAACAACTAATTCCAGTGCCGAATTCCCATTCTTTGCATCTCTTACGGTATCAGGCACGAGAGCCCAGACTGGATCCCGGTTTCAAACCAGTCACCATAATTTTTCTTCCTGTCGCACCCCCTCGCCAATACAGTACCGACCCAGAGGTAAGAAACGTCAACATCGGGTCGAGGTTCATTTCTTATTCCATCGCCACTGTCGCGAACAGGTTGTTATGTGCAGTTTAGTATGAGATCCACCGCTGAGTTGTCTATTCCCTTACTTTTCGTGCGAACTTGAGCCTGTCTTTGTTTCAGAACAAACTACTTGTTAACTGCGGGCCCGCACTGTCGCATATGGTACGGTTGTCAAGCCCCACAGCAAAGGACTCGCAAACAGGTTGTGAGCCTCGAGATGCACGGTCGAAATGAAAAGTGAAAAAGCTCCGCTTGTCCGAGGACGTGGTTTCGATCCCGACTTCAACCCTCGAGAACTTGTCGCTCTCGGAATTCTGTACGAGACCTGCAAGCCATTCTTCCAACCACTTCTTCTCAAGAAAATCAGGTTCTGTGGGTGGTAGTGGGCTTTACTCCATGCGGGCAAGTAGCAAGGATGTTACGTGGGGTCTTGCGTGAACCACGAAGTTGTTTGAGCCACAGCCTGCCCAATATATATATACTGTAGTCGTGTTCTTGTTGTTGGGCTCCACGAATTGAATGGCGACCACTCTGGCATGTCCACACGCTTCGATTGAATAGCGACCATGTTCATGGACAAAAAATATCCACCCGCGCCATTGGCAGTCTTTATCCTACCATCGAACGTAGTGAATGAGTTTCACATCGCGGTGTGGGTGACGGCCGTGAAATTAGGCACGTACATTGATGGATGTCAACCGTACGTGTTCTATGCACGTCAAAACGAAACGAATCGCTGTGTTTGGACTTGGTTGAGAGTGTAACGTCACCACACTTCACAGGCACATATACATGGACGAACGTACAAGCACTAAACACACTCAAAACAATGTTTTGCGGTCGAAAGAGGAAGTCCTTGCGACACGTCTAGCCCCGCACCACTCTACGCCCAACTCTACCCACAGCACGCGACGCCTATCAAAAGCCAACCCGCACTCACCCACCACCCCTAAAAGCACATGAGGGATCTTCCGAGAACAAATATTGGACAGAAAACACGATAGCTTGGGCTTTCCCTAGCCACGATAACGTGTCGTTTCGCTATCGTCGTCACACCAATCGCTCCACCTTTTTATCTAGAACCATACGGACAGGCCCAACGCTCAAGCTCTCGTCCGCCCTAAAAGGGGTACAGGTAGAAATCCCCAATACCTGACCCTCCGTCTTTGATGCTCCCCTATGACGTGGGTTTAAGGTCATGGGTTGCAGAATACAGAAAAGTGATCCTAAAGGAACAGATGAATTTTATATTCACTCGAAAAAAATGTACCAAGCAGATTATTCCCAGTTGAGCTTATCACGTCGACTCATCAGTACTGGGAACAACACAGAGAGAGCTAGACGTGAGAGTGGACAACACTGCCGGACGCTACCTGTCGTTAGACAGCCCTGTTCCTGGGAGCTTGTCTTGTCTTTTTCTTCCGTTCAGCGAGGCACGGCGGTGGAGACACGACGCGACACGGACAGGAGTCAGTCATGGTCGTTCCCGATTCGTCGCAGGAACATCGGCTCACTTGGTACGTTTCTGAGTTGGTCTTAGCGGCCTTGTGCCAAGTAGTAGTTGGACCACGGTCCGTGGGTGGTATGCAATGCCACCCTCGTTGGCGTTGCGTGTGCCCGGAATTGATAGCATCTGCGGGGCGTGCAAACTTCGTTGGCATTAGTGTTTATATCCGGTGGGATGCCAGAATTGACCGATCTATGATGTTTGGCATGCTGCGGGCCTGCGTACCCTCCCGTTACTATTTGCGCCGGTGTACGCGGGGCTGATGAGGTAGACGTAGAGACGTCTCTCGTCACGGGGGCACATGTATTGCATTTACATGTGCATATGAACGACGACCGAATTCACATGCCCATAAAAAGAGCAACTGGAACCAAACTTCAACCGCATGCGTACGTGAAAAATACACACAAGACACGTGAGTCAGTCATCCGTCATGACAAATACATCACACCTCTGTGACAGTCATGACAGATCGGTGCGATACTGCGACCCATCGCGGTGATGGAGGATCACGTAAGAGTCGTGGGCGAGTCGCGCCATTTCCATTGCAAACAACTTTCAGTCGTCGCTCCCGTTTGTTATGTCGTTTTAACTTGACGGAAGGTATTTTTCCCGCGAGGTTTTCCCGATGTCGATGTTACTCGAATAAGAAGCTGGGGGCTGACAAAACTTGAGACTGACGGTACTCTAGAGAGTCCCGTGAGATCCGTGCAATCGACGCATGACGTATGAAATGATATC